TAACTAAATGACAGAACATGGAAGATTATATTGTGAATAACAAACATTACAAGCAACTTGATATTGCGACTCAATATACAAAAAGATTAGGAATTGCGTCGTTACTGATAACAATTGTCTTCAAATACTTCTATTAAATATTCTAAAATTGACGTATTTACACGTGTTTAATGTAATCGGAATATCGACATAATACCGTCGTCTCTTACTTTCTTTTAGATAAAACAGAGACAACTATATGTCTCAATACAAGTTTCAGTGCAGTTGAAATTCAGGGTTGTAATACAAATAATTAATGCCATACTAATAGTATAATACTTCTGCAAAATTATATTATAATGGCTCCTGTGTAAACTGCCATATGTTTGAAAAGCAAATTTTGCAACACAAAACTTTAAACATTAATACGATGCATCAAAAATGATTATGGAATAGACAACTAAAATCATCTTGTTTCAGTTCTTGTTTCTAACGTTACTATTAAATTTACATAAAAAATAGTATTTACCAAGTTAATTAGAAAAAACCACAGGTGGTAAATTTCAAAATTGTGACTTACAATAGTCTACGTAGGAGCGTGTTTGCACACGCAAAAGACATAGATTAATAAGAATTAATTGTGTCAGGAATAATATTCAGTCAGATACTTCTCATTTGCATCACCTGTAATTGTGTCAATTACAAATTTTACATATAAAATGTATTAAAACAAAACGTATATTGCGTGCATATTGCTGTGAGCAAATAATTCAAAGATAGGCGCGCAGTATCGGCTCGGCATGTGTGCCAAGGAGAACATTCGATTAGTCGGAAACGTGACGCTCACACACACCGCTCTATACATCGATACATCATCAAAACGTATAGTTTTTAAACAACGATGTATTCCCCACAACAAATCTATAATGATACGGCTACACTAGAGATGTACTATTTTTGTATTTTCGCGGCCTTCATTGCCATTTATGTTATGCATGCGATATCATACTAACATTATAAATGCGAATGTTTGGATGGATGGATGGAAATGTTTTGAAGGTATGTATTTCCAAAACAGCTGAACGGATCTCTTCGAAATTTGGCATAGTCTGGAAGATCACGTAGGCTACTAATGTTTTTTTAATACTGCGCGGATGGAGTTGCGGGCAACAGCTGGTACACAATAAATATTGTTAAACGATTACTTCGTTAAGAAAC